ATGCCTTGTTGGACCACTCCAGCTTCCCTTGCCAGGCCGTGTAGATGGCGAGCTACCTTCTGTACTTGATCCAGGAAATCTCGGATGACTGCGTCTCTGGCTTTCACCCTTTGTTGTACTTGCTCCCAACGGAAACGCCACTGCAAACCCCCGTCGAATGGTACTATCTGAAGCTCACTCGCTTGCTTTTTGAAGCTATTGTTTTACCATCTTTCTCATGTTGTTTCTCCAGATCAGCCATTTGGATTCTCAGGCGTTGGATTCTCAGGAGTTATCCTTGACTTTATCTTGGTACCCCTTTCTCAAGTCTTCAAGCTCAAAATAGACTCTTTTCTGCTCCCTTTCCAGTTTGTCTGCTCTATCTTTCTGAGAATCGGCATCTAGTTTCCATTGATAACGTTCAGCTTCAAGTTCCTTAACTCTTTGTTTCAGCTCATTATTCACAGCTTCAAACTCTGCCTTGACTATCTCAAGTTCAGAAGGGACAGGCCTGAGATGTTCCTTCATGGTCCGGGTGTCTTCACAGTCTGGCATCGGGATGCTATCATTGTTTCTCAATCTTCGCCACTCCATATAATTTGGAGTAAGCATATCTCTGGCAGCCACGACATCCATCCGAGATACTTTCTTCCATGACTCGGCTGCCTCTTTGATCCTCTTCTTATAACTGTCACCGTGATACACAAACTCTAATGTAGATAATCCGTATGTTGATAGGATAAACTGACGTGCCCCATACTGTCTAAGTGCCAACAACGGAGCATGCCCAATTGCACCCCAAAGTCCAAGTAAGGTCATAGTGTCAGAATCCCCAAATCAGAAAAAAACATCACTGAGGAACAACCAGGGGGCTCTCCAAGTAATATCCTGGTCCTGAAGATGAGTGAAGACCTTCATCCATTCTTCCTTCGAAGCGCATTCATGCCATTTCATAGTGATGAACTCTCCCAATGGTGAATAGGTAGTGCTGAATTGGCGGTAGGCAACCCCGTTAGTCTTCCAGAAGTGGCTGTGAATCCAGACTTGAAGGAGCTGAACACATCCAATGAACCTTCCTCCACCAGTTCTTCTGCAATGATTAAGAGACCGAAAGGTCTCGGCTAAGATGGTCGGCGCTGAGTTGACTCGCCTTGGAAGTTATTTAAATAGTTCTACTACGGCTGCGTCGATGCGCCCCAAGGTCTTCGGAAAGATAATCAAACCGTACAGACCCAGTGCAAAAAGATCTATAGTCTTCCATTCATCAGGGTGGTTCTTCATTAGTTGCTTTATATGGATCCACTCGATTCCTTCCCCGTTACCTTTGTGTCGAAGTCGATCAGTCACCCATTTTTCATCAACCCCTGCAATCTTAGCTAGTCCGTTCTTGAAAGGCTGACTCTTGATGTGTTTGATATATGCCCTCTCTAGTCTGATGTTTTAGCAGTGCAGTAGGGTAGTATACTCTTCAATTGTGGGCACCATGTCCTCCGGTTAAAGGTGAAACAACTATATCCCGGGTTTCAGAATTGAATTAATGCTCGGAGCAGGGGCTCATCAGTCTTGAAATGGAATAAGAGGGCAATATCACCATATCGTTAGCTGAACTTCTGCTTTCTGTCATTCCCCCAACTGTCCCAAATATTTTGCAGTTCTTGGACATCATTTTGTTTCAGGCTGACAGATGCGTAACTAACAAGCTTTGACACATAATTTCCCTGAAGACTGTCTCCCTTCTCTTTCTGAGTCTTCTTGGACCATAGTCATGCCTCAGCGTTTTTAATCTCTTGTATTACAACACCTTTGTCCATTAATTCGGATTTATTTTGTGTTTAACAAATGTTTTTTAAGGATCAATAACCTCTTGTTATGATGCAAATGCTAGAAAACAAACACAAAGGCAAAATGATTAGTAAAATAAAAATAAAAATAAAATGTCGAAAGAAAAAAACACAAAAAAGAAAATGTTTAGGGTAAAAATATCTTAGGTTTTGGAATGTGATTTCGGGGTAGGCTCTAATTCTCCATGGTTTTCCGGTTTAGGTTCTAAAAACGGTACCCGAGTTCTCCTTGCTGGTGCCCCCTTGGGCTTGCTAGACCCTTAGTCCTAAACCCATCACAGGCTTATGTGGACTAAGTTAAACTCGAGAGGACACATTCCCTTATGCCCGCACGGTGAATAAATTCACACGAAGACATAAGGTATATGAATCCTGAAGGCTACTTGCTAGGCCCGCACGGTGAATAAATTCACACGAAGGCATCGCTTTCACTCCCACTTAAGACAGGGTTTATAGCTCAGGTATAGAGCCTTAAATGAAAAAGATTTGAAGGCTGAAATCACGAGAAAACGATTAGTACAACTATTTACCCGAAAATATAATCAAAAGTAAATAAAAAAAGATCGAAATGTTACCTTAAAATTTAAACTTACCCTTTTCGTTAAAAAGACAACTGAAATTACCTTAGCCTGACTCACTTACCTGTCCCCAGCAGAGTCGCCAAGCTGTCGCAACCGTCTTTCGGTTGGGCCCCGAAATTGGGCTTCGACTTGAAAAATATGGATTGGGAGTCGCCACTGATCATTTACTTTACGAAAAGTGGGTTGATCGGATACCTTATTTCTTACCTGATCTGCGTCTTATCAGTGATATGTCGGATCCGAGAGTCGGTTACAGTCAAGGAAGGATTAGCACCCTTAAACCGCCCTTTCGGTACTATGTAATTTTTAGTTGTCTTTAATTAAGAAAGTTGAAAGTTTAAATTGAAAGGTAAAATAACGATCCAAAACTTACATTTGATTGATTGAAAATGTACCCTTAAGAAAGTAAAAAAGCAATGTTAGATAAAATGGTAAGAAATTAATTAATTAATTAAATTAAAATGAAAAGAAAACAAATTAAGTAAAATGATAAAATGAAGAAAGCAAAGATAAAATAGTAAGTAAAAAAATATATAAAAAAAAGAAAAAGAAAATAAATAAAACAAATAAACAAAATAATAATAACAAAGTACGAATAATATGTATATATAAAATAAATAAAAATGTAAATATATATAAATTAATAAATTAAATGACGAAAAGAACATATACACATATAATGGTAAAAAAACCAAATAAAGATAATTACAATATATATATATAGTAACAATACTAATAATGATAATAAGTAGTTAAAAAAGACAATCACACCGAAAAGGGAAGAAAAGAAAGTAAGGTTTGGTGAAGTATAATTGACGGGAAGAAAAAAATGATGAGGGGTAGGGGAAAAATAGATAGATATCATTAACTTGTGTAGAATATATATATATATAATAATAGTAAAATGTATATATAACAACAATAATATCGATAAAAAAGAAAATAAAAATGATAATAAAAAATATAGAAAATTAATAGAAAAATATATGTATAATATTATAAAATATAGCACTTAAAATAAAAAAAAACCAAATATATATTAATAATAGGTATAAAAACTAAAATATTTAAAAAAAACATACACATATATATATATAACAAAATAAATAATATAAAAATAATACAAGTAATAATACAAGAATAATAAAAAGAAAGAGAAAGTAAAAAAATATAAAAAATATACATATATAATATAAATAAGTAGAATAAAAGGAAAATATAATAGTAAAAATAATAATAAATATAATAGTAATAATAAAAATGCAAAGAAAATAAATATATATATATTGGTAATAACGTATATAAATAGAGAAAAATTAAAAAAGTGATAAATTAAAAATAAAATTAGCAAGTATGTATATATATAAAAAAACTAATTAAGGGATTAAAATGAAAGGAATGTAAATTAAGTGGGTAAATGTCAAAGAACATTGAAGATTAAAACCGGCAAAAATAAAAAAGTTTTTATTTTTTGATAGATTTTCGTACTCTCATTCTAAAAATGTAATTTGTTTTTGCGAAATAGCCTCTAGGGAGCGTAGATATGAAATCAAAGTTTCGAAAAAAAACTCCCTCTGGGTCATCGGCTAAAACATTTGTCTTTGGGGTTCTCCAAAGAAAACACGATTAACAACGCATGCAAGTGAAGAGTAAAGAGAAACAAACGAAAGATAAAAAAATCTTTCACCTTTATTACTTTGAATCGTTTACAATAGCCTCGAAATCACTTTTTCTTTGCTCGTATTTTTCTGGCGTTCCTTTTGTATAACTCCTGTCTGTAAATCGTGTGTTACAATAGTGAGTTACAATGGCTATTTATAGTGCTTGTGGATCCTATCTTTAGGAGTTTAAATCATAGTAGAACTCTATCCTATTTTTAGGAGTTTGAATCCTAGCAAAATTCTATCCTATTTTTAGGAGTTTGAATCCTAGTAGGATGAAAAGGTGTGTTGACAGTTGTATGGGAAGATGCCTAATCTTTCTCACCTTAGAGTATTTGGATGTCTTTGTTATGCTACTATCCCCAACAATCGTGACACATTCTCCTTTAGATCAATCCCTTATGTTTTTATGGGGTATTCCTTGGTTCAAAAAGGTTATGTTCTTTTCAACTTGAGTTCGAAGTCCTTTTTTGTTAATAGGGATGTGGTATTTCATGAATCTATATTTCCTTTTCAGTTTCCAAAAAAAAACTCTCCATTGTTTCCTATTTCAACCCTGCCTAATGACCTTGATCGAGAATTTTTGCATATTCCAGTTGTGACATCAAATAACTCACGTAATAAGCAGTTACCTGTGCATGAGAATTTACCCATACATGAATTTACAAATGACCATACAGATTTTGGTCCAGCATGTCCAGTTTTTGACAATTTATGTCCTTCATCCTCTCGGTTATCGAGTTAGCCAATTGTACCTAGTTCTTCTTATTTGAGGCATTCTACTCGAGTCACTAAACCACCTTCCTGGTTATCTGACTTTATCCATCCTCCGCAATCCTCTTCTACTTCACTGCAAGCAGGTACGACTTCATCCTTCAACCATACCTCCTCCTTTCCTTTATCTTTACCACCTTTTGCTGCTTCTTCCTTATCTTTAGTTGAACCTAAAACCTACCATGAGGCAGCCTGTGATGAACGTTGGGTAGAAGCTATGCAACATGAAATTCATGCTCTAAAGACAAATGGTACTTGGGCAGTGGTTGATCTACCACCAAATAAATGACCCATTGGTTGCAAATGGGTATACCGGATCAAGTACAACTCTGATGGTTCAGTTGAAAGGTTCAAAGCCCGATTAGTTGCTAAGGGTTATAGACAATGTGAAGGTATTGACTTCCATGATACTTTTTCACCTGCGGCAAAACAAGTTACTGTTCGTACTATCATTGCCATGGCTGCTATGTTCGGTGGGAGCTCTATCAAATGGATGTTTTCAATGCCTTCCTACAAGGGGATCTTCATGAAGAAGTCTACATGACGTTGCCAGATGTTTTCGCAACCAGGGGGAGTTTAGAGTATGCAGGTTACTCAAGTCACTATATGGCTTAAAACAGGCGTCTCGACAATGGAATTTAAAATTGACTGAGGCTCTTACTGCAGGTGGTTATGTGCAGAGTCTTTATGATTACTCGCTGTTCACAAAATGAGAAGATGAAAAGTTGGTAATAATGTTGATCTATGTGGATGATCTCTTGATCACGGGCAACGATAGTGGAATGATAGAAGAGTTAAAGACCATCCTGTAAGGGAATTTTAAGATGAAAGATTTGGGGCAGCTCAATTATTTCTTAGGCATTGTAGTTGTACGAAATACAGAAGGAATTATTCTAAGCCAACGAAAATATGCCTTGGAACTCATGACAGATTCTGGTTTGGGGAATGCACGTAGTGTTTCTACTCCTCTTAAAAAGAATCAAAAACTCACATCATCCGAATATGACATGCACATTGAGCATCAATCTGATGAGCTCTTAAAAGATATTGGAATGTATCAAAGGCTAATTGGAAGGCTTCTTTACTTAACACATACTCGCCCGGACATAATGTATGTTGTTCAGCTTTTAAGTCAGTTCATGCAAACTCCAAAGAAAGTCCATTATGAAGCAGCTATGCATGTTGTGAGGTATATATGAAAAAGTCCAGGTGAGGGTATTCTGTTTTCAAGAAAAAGTATACCTAACTTGGTAGCATTTTGTGATTCTGACTGAGCTGCTTGTCCAATGTCAAGATGTTCTGTTACTGGCTATTGCGTTAAGTTGGGAGATTCTCTCATTTTCTGGAAGTCTAAGAAGCAGAATACCATCTCACGATCATCAGTTGAGGCTGAATACAGGTGTATAGCATCTGCAGTAGCGAAATTAGTTTGGTTAAGGGGATTAACTAAGGAACTGGGAATTGAGCACCACGAGCCAACAACGTTGTATTGTGATAACCAGGTTACACTCCACATTGCAGCAAATCCAGTCTACCATGAGAGAACAAAGCATATAGAAATCGATTGTCACTTTGTGCGTGAACATATACAAAAGGGAGTTGTTTGCACCAAACATGTCTCAACTAAAGAACAACAGGCTGATATCTTTACAAAAGGCTTAGGAACAAACCAACATGAGCGTTTGAAGATCAAGTTGAGAATGAAAGACGTGAGTCATTCTCCAACTTGAGGGGGAGTGTTAAGAAGTTAGTTAGCAAGATTAGTTAGGAAGTTAGCTAAGTTGTTATGAGCAGTTTAGTTGTTAACCAAAGTGTATAAATACAACAATAACTTGTACATAGAACATATGCAATAAAACAAGTATTACTCAATACTGCTCTCTTTTATTTTCTTTGCTAGAAAAGATGTTAACAGTTCTTCTTTCGATGTCCCTTGATCTTACAATACTCACAAGCCCCTGAAAAACGCCTTCGATCGTTTCTTTTGAAACATTTGAGAACATGACAGAAGTCTTGATAGATCCCTTAGAGATCTTAATTAACTGTGAGCAACGGTTTCATGATCAAGATTTGACTCCTTATCGTCGAATACGTCTCGTTTAAACCCATCAGAAATTAAAAAAGTTTTTGTTGAACAACACGAGCCAAATTCTATCGCTCAACTTCACAATCGCATGATGAGAAAGGAACTAACGAGCTAAACTCATCCCATAGTTGTTTAAGACGAGTGTAATAAACAGAAACAGACGAATCACCTTGCACCAAAGTAGCTATCGAACAGTGAAGAAATAAAACTCTAAATCCGTCAATTTTATCGAAACGCTCCCTCAAATCTTCCCAAACACCTACAGCACTGGATGCAAAGACCATTCCAGCAGATAAGTCTTCACTCACCGAGTTAAGAATCCACGAGAAAACGATGGCATTACACCTGTCCCACTGCGGATGAAGTAACAGATTACATTGCTCCTTGAGGCAATCTCCATCAACAAAGCCAAGCTTGTTCTTCGCAAGTAAAACGATTCTCATTAAGCAACTCCAAAGACTGTAATTATCAAGACCCAGGAGCTGATGTGATACCAGACGCAGGTATGGATGCAGGTAAAGAGGATGATTACTGTCAATCTCCATCGCTGGACAGAAAAGAAGCAAAAGGAGAAAAAAACGAATGGAAACAAATAGGGATTTTGACAAGGAAGTCAACAATCCAGGAACAACGAGTCAAAAAAACTGAAACCCATCAAATTGGGCCTCAAAACCTTGCTCTCGATACCATGTTAAAATACAAAGGATTGGGAAATTTTCACTGTATTTCATCAGTAATATGTACAAACAATGTATCCTACTTATACAACAATGAAACTAAAGCAATTAACTACTAACAGAAAAGAAAATTAAATCTGTTATGGTAAACTTTAATCCTATAGCTTCTAACAAGTTCTTAAATGATCTTTTCTTGTATGGATTTCTTATTAAATTTTTGCATGCAATATCCTTATAAGCACCTTTGATTCAACAAGTACAGTTAAATGATTTCTGCAACATGTATTTACTTTATAAGATCAACAAACATAATTCAGCTGTAGCTAATTCTTGTCTTGTTCTTTTATATATAGAAAAAAACAATGCAATTTTTACTATTGATAAACATTATGTCTTTGTAACCAATAAACGAGTCGAAGAAAGGATCATTAATGAAAAACAAGTAAACACCGCGTTGTACTTCTGTACAGTGTCGCCACTGTTGTCCGGTGACAGCCGAACAAAGACGTGTTTATCAATTGCATGGGGACTTTTAATAGAGGTATGGTCTGATTTGTAGCCGTGAAATATTTCATTTGTATTAGAAATTTGTAAACCGAAAATAATCATATCCAGATTAACATGAAATAATTCAATTTTATCTACGTTCATATTAAGAGAAGAAAGAATTCATTATAAACATAAAGATGGTAAAGAGTTTAAATATATAAAATTTTATATATCTCATAAACCCAATATAATATCAAAACTATTTCAACATCTTTACAAAATTATATCTTAAAAAGAAACATCTTTACAAAATTATATCTTAAAAAGAAACGTCAAAATATTATATTTACCTAATAATTCTTCTTCTATAATTTTAAAGGTTAAAACATAATTTATATTCATTACAACAACAACAACAACAACAAAACCCAATTCCCATATGTATGGGGTAAGGGGGAGGTAGGGTAGTAGGCTGCCCCCAACGCCAGGTTGAGAGTAACTTCCGAGAAAGACCTCCGGCATTCAGAAAATTAAAAATATAGATAAAATGCAATGCATGTATAAAATAAATACATAAATACATAGCTAAACAGTATTCATATGCAGTCATTAAAATCATATGTGCGTCTGTAATGGGAATTAATCCCTGCAAAATAATCCATGCGAAAGAATTTCTGCATATAGACAGAAACATAAGACCCGGCTAAATTTAAAAGAGGAAACATGAAGAGAATGATACACAGAAGTCAACGATATCAAGCCCAGTTCTAATCCTTCATAAATACCAATAACAGAAACGTATAAAAAGTAGAAGTCATGGAAATTACTACAAAGGCATTAAAAGAAGACAGAGATGATACACCCTATAGATGTGACCCACATTACTCGACTACCCTAGTTTTTAGCCTCCATATTTTCCTATCAGAGGTCATGTCTTCGGTAAGGGCTAAATCCATCAAATCAGATCTCAAGCAGTCTTCCCACTTCCGCCTTGGTCGACCTTTCCTTCTGGCACCGTCGACTGTAATCGACTCTACCCTCCTAACCGCATCCGACGGTAGTCGCCTAAGGACATGCCCAAACCACCGTAGTCTTCACTCCCTCAATTTTTTTGGAAACAGACACCACCCCCAAGGACATCCTAATAGCAGCGTTTGTCGTCATATCCCACAGAGTCCTACCACATGTCCATCGAAGCATTCTCATTTCTGCAGCCTCTATCCTCCTTACGTGATCCTTCTTGGTTGCCCAACATTCTGATCCATACAACAGCGCTGGTCTTATTGCCATTCTATAAAATTTTCCCTTAAGTTTTAGAGGCACCTTCTTGTCACACAAAACTCCAGTAGCGGCCCTCCACTTTAGCCATCCCGCCTTTATACGGTGTGTAACGTCATCATCTACACCCCCATCTTTATGTATCATAGACCCTAGGTACTTGAAACAATCCTTTGAGGGGAGAACGTGTCCTTCTATGCATACTTCTACATCTTCATCGTTTTGGTTCCCATTGAAGTTTGAACATAAATACTCTGTCTTTTCAATATTGATCCTTAAACCTTTTTCTTCCAAAGCAGTCTTCCAGGTAGCCAGTCTACTATTCAACTCAGATTATTAAATAATTAAGTGATTTACACTAAATTATTAATTAAAATTTGAGTCTACATGAAAGTAGAGAATAAACCTAGAGCTCATAGCTTTTACCTACGTGATAGTTATTCATTTGCATGATAGTTAGGGGATTGTAAATGTAAGAAAACGACACAACACGGATCTAAACAAGTTCACTGTTGACGACAGAAAGAGCTGCTTTGTTCACTTCATGACTTTCCTTAAATTTTGGAGAATAATGTTTCAACTGATGTTTATTAGCATCGTTTTCCAATAACCACCGGTTTGAAAATACCACGTACGTATCCTTTAACCTTAACTATCTTCACAATTGCCACCCTATTCCTTATTATTTATAAGGCAAGTTATACTATATAGTCTAGATTCTAGGTTAGTTTCTCAACTTCAAATTATTTTTAATCGAATTTTTCAAATATCAATATGATCAAATTATTCAAACCCAACAGGTCTCGATCCAATCTAAATTTATATGATCATTTTTTTCCTCTTGAAATTCATGTTCAAATATTGGGTGAAAACCCTAACATGACTCGACCGGGATATTATCATTAGTCTTCACTATATATCTAGATATAATTATTATAATATCCCTTTACATATATTCAAATATGAATTTTTATCTCAAAAATCGAGTCAGATTCAAGACGGGCGAAATCTACCTATACTCGGATCGGATCCGGTAAAGGGGTAATAATGATCAGAGTCGGGAGAAACCTCCCTATTCCCACATTCTGGTTCTAGGAATTAATACACATAATAAATAGAGAAGGACCATCACTATATCATACTTTCCTTATTAACCATCAGCAATTTCACAACCACTGACTATTTTATTTTATTCCTCATAGAACAACGCTATACATAATATAGAATGAGCCAACCTCTTTCATATAGAGTGCCCTTCAAACTGTCTGCTTCCTAACAAATCCAGTGCCAGGATCATCACTAGAAGGGAAAACTTCAAGCCCTGTGACCATGGCAGCTGGTGGACCACGGCGGCACCTCTGCTCCATTTCCTGAACGGAGTCGGGGTTACCGGAGAAAAGTGCTTCCACCGAACCATCCTTCCTGTTCCTAACCCAACCTTTCAAGCCTAATTGAGTAGCATTCTCTATTGTCCAGTTCCTATAAAACACACCTTGAACCCTACCCTTTATCACTACCCTTACCTGCATCACACAAATCCTCAATTCATCACAATTAAAACATACAGAGATTGAAACCCCAAATTGCACAAGCAAAGATGAAGAGGCTCATTACTTGCACAAAGTTAAAACTTTCTAAATAGAACATCCAAAAGCCATAACCCTACTTGGAAGTTGAAACATACTAAATTAATTAACCGACACAACATTCCAAAGGTTCTCCCATTATAAATGCCAAGGATGTAAATGAATAAAGCATTTGATGAACATCTCAGTTTTTGCTCGTTTATCTAGCTGAATAAATGAACATGAATAAGATTTTGAGTTTCGTTTAAAACAAGTCATGTATAGTTCATTGTTAGAAATAACCAGAAACGAGTTACAATAGAATTGCAAACTTTCTTGAGGAAATGGGAACCTGGAATGCAGAACATGGAATTCAATATGCAGAAGCTGACAATGTGGATGCATTTGGGAAATTTTCCTTTCCAGCTTCACTCTAGGAAGGGTTGAGTTAAATAGCTAGGGCACTCGGCATTACACTGATAGAAAAACTGCAAACAAGGAGAGATTGGCTTAGGCCAAAATATGTGTTGAAATTAATGTTGACTTAAACATTCCTAGATCAATAGTATTTGAGCTTAGAAATGACACTTGTCTCAATTTAGGAGGAGATTCCGTGGGTTCCACCAAAATGCTTAACATGAAACACTTTAATCAGAGAAAAATTGTCCATGCAAGCCAGCCAAAGTTAAAACTAATGTTTGGGTTCCTAATCGGATGGAGAGGATTGTGGCTGAGCAAGAATAAATGAAAATTAACTATAATCCAGTAATGAAAGCAGCCTCAACTCCCGTCGAATTGGCTTTCCCAGTGGGGACTCCTACTGGATTGGCCTTATCGGTGGGGAATGAGAGGACAACTTGCTTGGAAAGCTTGACCAACAGATTTTCTATGCTGGAGCTAATTGTGGAACATGATGAGGGAATGCCTGTTACGGAACAAGAAGCTTTGGCTGACATTACTGCATATGATTTACGAAGGAAAACCAGAGATGAAGCTACAAGTTTTGACGAATTGATGAAGAAAATGACAAATCAGAAAAAAGTGCCTGACACCAAGAAAGTAAAGGCACGATCTTCAACCTTAGGAGGTATTGGTCTCTCAAACTTATTAATATTCTTGTGTAGAATGTTAGAACATGGGTAGTTAGATTAAAGAATTACATGTTGATATAGCATGCATATTAGAGATTAGATTTAAAGTTTCAAAAGTGCAGCTTATTGTTGCAAAGAATTTCAATCGTTGTCACATAATACTCAAGCTATTAAAGGAAGAATATGGTTCTTATTTAAAGACTCCTTAACTATCGATAAGTTGTCACATGAAGGTGACTCAAGGAACCCATGGTTTCTTCCTTTAAAGCAATATATGGGTCGAATAATGGGATAGATAGAATAAGATTATGGCTGGGTATTAGTTAGGAGTAATCGGTGAGGAAGCGTAGAATCCTGGCTGGGGATTTCAGTTTCATTACTAGTCTACCAGAGAGCTCAAGCTTTGATGGCAGCAAAAGTAGTACTTCTGATATGCGGGACTCCAATGTCACCTAGATCAGATCTCACTGGACGACCACACTTTTGTAGAGCCTTTTAACCAGGTCCAATCATTAAGTTGACCATTTAGCAAAGCAACTTGACTGGGTGCTTGTTAATGGTCGATGGTCAGTATCCTACCTTCATTTTTATCGGGAGATTATAGTGCTAGCTGTTCCAGATCATTGTGCAACACTAATAAAAACTATAATGACCTCAACATGAAATTTATGCAAACTGTGGAGGGCTCTTTGAGGCAGAGAACTTCAAGGAATCCAATGACAATTGTCCATGTCAAGTTGAACGGGTTCAAGCAAGGGTTATGGCAATTTAATCAGATCCTCTTTGAAGTTATTTTTATAGAGTTAAAATTAAAAGGAAGGGGCAGGAAGAAGTTCAGCTTTCTTTACTTAGAAGTCCAGCCAACACGGGGTTGATGAAAGCTCAAATGCAACTCACACAAGAACTTCAAGTTGCTGCTAAAGGGTGAGGAGAGTTTACACCAACAAAAGTCGAGAATAAGATGGCTGCAAAAAGGTGACCTGAATACAGGTTACTTTCATAGGATGGTACAAGTTCAGCAAAGTAGGAATTCAATCGAGGTACTTCTGGATGATGATGGGAATAGGTTGGAATCCTTTGACTAGAGCCCAACTGAAGCAGTTTTGTGGAGTAAGATTAGACCAAGGCAAGAGAAGATAATCTGGCACAAGTTCTTCACCCCCAAACACTCACTAATAGCGTTAAATATAGTTCTTGTCAGACTACCAATAAAGGACAGACTGGTACAAGGGGGATGACAATCGATGAGGACTGTTTGTTGTGCAAGGAGGAGTCTAGGAATCAAATGTTCTTCCACTGCAGATACTCCAAGAAGATATAGCAGCTGGTTTTGACAATATGTGGAATTCAGAGAGAGATAGGGGAATTGGAACAGGAACTACAGTGGGATGTAAGAAATGGCTAGGGGAAATGTTTACTATGTATGGACATAGCATGGAATGTGTTCCTTTACTGTGCATGGAGTGAACGCAACAACGGGCTTTTTCATCAACTTGAACCGGACAAGAATATGCAGCTGGAGAAAATTAGAGAAGTGATTTCCTTGGACAGCAACTTTAAAGAGACCACTGTAAACACAATTCTTTGTAGAACTGGAAGATTAATCTTACAGTACTGCCAATTCTTTTTGTACAGTTGTAAACATTGTCATGCATAGCAGCTTGCTGCATTTTTGGAAAATAGAAATTAAACTGCTTAACCAGAATTAAAAAGGGGGAGTTAGCAGTATATAATAGCATTCAAAAGTTACTAATACCTAAATTGCAGAAACAGCATGTCAATTATTTACAAGAAACAGCCGAAAGAGGTTATCATAACTGTCTAAGAAGAGGCTAAGAAAGTTGGCACAAAATAAACTCTTGTGATATTTAAACGCTGATTCAAAATAGAACTATAATAGCAACCCACAATTAACAGAAATTTTAAAGGGGACAATCAATCCATTAGTAAAACTTAGACAGTCCAATTAGTTTCATCAATATAGCCATAATCTTGACAACTATGGAAGGATAAAAATGAGTCATTTTTTTTATCAATAACATAATTCCTAAAGTAAATTTCAATGCAAAACAATCAAAACAACGATAATAGATAATCGGACTACCATATAAATTAAAAATTCAACCTTACGACCTGATGTTTGTCAAGGGAACATTTCTTTTTCAAAAAAAAAAAACCCAACATTGAAATCAATTAGAGCACTTCATTACAAGGGAGGTAGAAAAACTCACCGTTTTGGATTGGGAAGGCTGAGAGGAGTCACTGTCAGCTTGAGAAGTGGCCATTGAAGTGAAAAGGGGTCGAAGGGAACGAAAACTGAGAGGGTGAGAAAGAGAAAAGCCAGAGCAAAGCGGAGAAGAAGGCGAGTTAGAACAAGAAAGAAAGGGGAATCTAGTTGCAAATTGGGACCATTTCTTTGGAATTCGATTAAGGTTAATGGTGACCCCATTTTTGGTCTTGAAGTTTTGAAATGTTTGGATTTTATAGGTGGAGAGAATTTGAAGGACTCTTCGATTCTGTTCCAGAAAAACTGTAAAATAGTGAAATCCATCTCCTTGAGCTTGCTTAGCTACAACGATTTTTTTATTTTATTAATTAATAAAATATTTTTCTTATTTGTTAAAACATAAAATAAATAGCATATGAACTTTGTGGTGAAAATTCCAGTCGCCGTAGAAAAAATCGTAAACGGAAAAAAAGGACGGAGTATACCTCTCAAATAAGAGGTGTTTTCGCTAAAAATCACCGGTGATCAGTATATTTTTTGATCTAAAATCGGTTAGATTATATTTTCTGATCTAACACTCATAGCAGTAAATCACGCCCTTTGAACCGTGTTATATGTTGATTTGGCGTCACGTGGAGTATAATGCGCCCCCTGTACCACGCTATACGCTGACTGGGTTACACGTGGGTATAGCGCCCCCTGCTCCGCGCTATACGCCACGTAGGGGTATAGCGCGGATCAAGGGCCGCGCTATACGTCGTACCAAAATTATATTTAACGCGGTCCTTGGTCCGCGCTATATAATAATTACATATAACGCGGTGCAGGTACCGCGGCTTATATGTTTATAAATACACTCCTCCGGTTCTCACATCTCATCGCATCTCTCCTCTCAACTTATAAATTAATACAACAATTTCGTCAACGAGTAATAATTCTGACAATCTTCTCATATTTGATTTAGAAATTCGTGCGATTTTTTGTTATAAGATAATTTTGTTATAATTTTTTAATTATATTTATTGTTTATTATCATTATTTGAAAAAATATTATACTAATTATTTTCAATTAATTTTTATGTTTGTAAATTGAAAAACGGGAGCATACGTCGAAATAGTTTTGCAGTGCAGATAATAATATAAAATTATATTATTTAAATTATTTACGTTGATGTGTAAAAAAAATTTTGTGTTATATTTTCGTTCATATATAATTTATTTAATCATGTTTGTTTCATTTTTTTGCAGATATAATATTGTCGCACTTTTAAACCCAAAGAATGACGCGACTTTCAGCTATTGTTTATTATGATGGTGAAATTCGAGAAGATGAAACCGGCGTTGTTTTCGTATCAAATGAGCGTGTTAAAATATCATTCAAGAGAAACATAACTCTTGAGGAGCTGATAACGAAGATTTCAAGGAAGATTCATGTTGGAAGTAGTAGAAGAATGTCGTCGTTGCAGTATAGATTTCCAATATCATTGTTGCCATTAACCTATACAGCGTTCGAACTTTCGAACAATGATGATGTTCAAATGATGGTTGAAGCTCAAAGTAATTATTCAGACGCCGCTATTGAGATGTATGCACATTTTGTTCAAGTGCGTGTTGTTCGGGGTCAATCTTTAAGCTCACACTATGGGCTGACTGAACAAGTTGATCAAGTTGACAGCCCGACTACAGTAATGTGTAATGATTTTAATGCCATAATGGGGAGACATTCATCCGCAACTCCTTACGATATGTACCAAAGTGGGTCCACGAACAATCTGTATGGCAACACTGCGTCCAGTTCAAGGGGAAGGCATTCATCTACAAATTTCTTTGACCATATGGAGATATCATCGACGCAACCATCTGTGCAGTTTCCATTTGACACGATGGCTTCAAGCTCCAGGGGGAGGCATTCGACTGCGAGCTTTTTCGATCTCAATGTCGATATGCCTTCCAGTTCAAGGGGAAGGCGTGCAAGTAGTAGGTTCTTCGACCTAAATGTGGAGAGCATGGAGGAACCATCATCTCCACCAGAAGAACCGCTTCGTGAGCCTGGTGCGGATGGTGTTGAGACTGGACTATTCATTCACCCAGAATCACCGCAATTCAACTCCGATGATGATGAAGTTCCAGGAAATGTGACACAAACTGACCCTCCTGCACACATGTATGAAGCTGATTATGGTGCAATGTACGGGCCATAATTTGCGGATATGCCTCATCTCGGTGACTATGGATATTACTCATCAATAAATAATGGTGAGTTATCTTTAGGCATGGAGTTCTCAAGCAAAGAAGAAGTGGTGATAGCTATAAAAAATTACAATATATGTAATTCTGTTCAGTCCAGAGTCAACCGATCCACGATCGAAAAATATGTATGCTACTGTGCCCGACACGAAAACGGATGCAATTAGATGGTTCGCGTATCGAAAAGGAAGAGGAAAAACAACATATGGGAACTAACAGTATACAACGGTCCTCACACATGTTGTGCTAGAGAGGTCAACCAAGATCATCCCAACTTGGACTCTGAAGTGATATGCCAAGCCATCATGCCCATGGTAAAAGCAAGCTCTCATATAGTTGTTGCAGTGTTGATTTCAGCTATACAATCGCAGTATGAGTACACTGTCTCCTATAAAAAAGCTTGGTTGGCAAAACAAAATGCCATTGTCAAACTTCATGGTAAATGGGACAGAACGTGCGACTGCGGGTTTTTTCAAGCTCTGAAGTATCCATGCTCTCATGTGATAGCAGCTTGCTCGCATACACGTCAAGACTATAACCATTTTGTGGATCTTGTATACCTACTATCTGAAGTTTTTAAGGTATACGAATTTGAGTTTCCCCCCATAGGTAATGACAAAGACCCTGATGAGGTTCAAGATTGGCTTCCGATTGTACCAAATCCGAGTTTATTGAGGGAGCGTGGTCGTCCAAAATCCAATCGAATTTATTGCGATATGGATATTCAAGAAAGATCTAGACAAGACAGAAGATGTGGCCATTGTAGAAACCCATGACACACTAGAAAAACATGTCCACTTCTGTTGTCATCAAGTAACAATTGATGAGGAAATGATGTATTTGTTTATCAAATAATAATTCTTGTATTTTAATTTGCATTTACTTCAAGTTAATGTCATTCGATAATCTCTGATTAAGATTAAAAAAATAAACACAATCATTAAATTTTATCAAACTAATAACAATTTGGTATTTAAATACAACAAACTTACAATAAGAATTAAACGGTAAATGATAACCAAATTACAATAAATGATATTAAATGGTAATAAACAAAATTAACTGAAATAAATTAAAAAAAATCCAACAAATTTAATAAAATAAAGAAAGTATTAAATGAGAAATAATAAAAAAATTACAATTAAACAAAATAAAGTAAATACAAATATAATAAAAAAATCTATTGACGCCTGCGTCGTGAATGTGTTCCGCAGGGCGGTGGCTGTCGGTCTCGAGGAGGATTTCTTCGTATCACTGGTTCTGACTCCTCGCTGTCATCGTCGTCGTCGTCGTCCTGAGCAGGTACATTAGGTTGATGAGGAGATGATGACGATGAAGCACCTCCATAGAATAAGGACCCTGGAGGTGTATGACTGACTATCCCACCGGCCTGCGAAAACTGGGAAAACCCAGACATCGCTGAGTGTGAAAACTGTACAGGAGGTATCTGTGCTGCGGCCATGGGTGATGAGGCTGAACCCGCCAAATATCCAGCATATGAACCCCAAGTCAGATCTACAAACAAAGACCCATAATAGCCTCCAGGAGGGGTCATCTGTGACGGTGGCGGGGTCATAAAACCATGTGAAGGCGGTGGCGGCGACATCTGGTAATGGAAAGGCGATGGCGTCATCATATATGGCTGCAGTGGCTACTGGGAAGGTCCTGCTGGTGCAGCTGAGGATGAACCGGAAGCACCTGCTCTCCGTCCACGAGTCGGGGGACGATGGTGCTGTGTAGGATCACGTCTCAATCGATGTCGCGGAAAGATCTGCCCTCGTGCATCATCGGAAAGCAGAAACGATTTCCTATTACTGTTGAACCACTCATAATAACCGTCAGCATACATCAAGAGGTCATCAAAAATGGGCTCTCTACGGGGAAGGCGCCGATGTCGATCCTCCCACAACACGACCCACTCATGATGCCTCACCAGCCAATCTGTATTTGTCTTGCCGCGTCTATCTAAGCTATGCAACTAGTCCATATTGCGAGGTGCTTCCGGAATTGGTTCAAAAAACAACCAAACTGCCGGAGCACGCGATCAGTGGAGTGCCACTCGACGGTCGCATAACATATCAGAGGGACCATCGCCATCTAAACATCTGATGGACCCCTCAACTCAGGTGGGATCACCGCACTCACATCATCAGTAGAATATGGCACCCATTAAAACTAAAACAAATAATATATAATTTTTATCAAAATAATAATCTAATTATATAACTATAATCTAAAATCGATTTTTAAACATTAAAATTCATACATGTGTGCCAGCCTTCTGATCGATTAGCACCCTAATTTTTTCTAAATCATCAGGTAGCTCCTGATGATTTTTCCCATCAGTAGACCACCTATTCAAGGAAAAAAATTTGTTATACGTTGTATAAAATTATTAATATACAAAATCAGTCTTATAATTACCTCAGAAGTAGTGGAAATACGAATGGGTTCTTAACAACGGGACATAAAAAGGGCAATCGATATCATGCCCAAGACTGCAGCAGCCGGAGAGATCCGCCGATAGTATTACGCCTGTAGTCAGTGGCTCCACACATCTCCCTGTACAGTAAAGTCAAAACTGTCGAGCCCCAAATGAATGATCTAGCGAGACGAAAGTCGCTAAGATGTCACAACCACATGCAGTGAACTAGGTTGCGCAATTTGTCCGGCATCAGCAACCCTCATATCAGCTGCAATATACATGCTCGTGCATATATCTTAACCTCATCCTCAGAGGCGTCTGCGCTCAACTCCCGAAAATTGGCATCTAACCAATTTAACAGTATCCTACATCCAATAAAATTTTCCGGGACACGTCCTAGACTATCCCGACACAAAGTAGTCCAAGAACCGGAAGCTATCCCCGATATCACATCTCCATCCACCAAGCCCTAGGTGCATAGAAACATCCTCAAGCGTGATCGTGCACTCTCTGCATGGAAGATGAAATGTGTGGGTCTCCGGCCTCCACCGCTCTACTAAGGCAGAAATCAGGTCTGGCTCTATCTTACAGTGACCCTGATATCTACCTATATAACC